TTGAACACAATGAATTTAGTTAGATGTCCAACGGTCATTATATTTGGTCCCAAAATGAACCTCCTTGGTACCTTTGAGAAAAAAATGTGATGATGATAATGATGTTAGTAATGAGACAATAATGACGATGATGATGATGATGATGACAATGATGATGACAATGACGTCATACTTACGTCATCAGTGACTTGAGAAACAAATTGATTGTCAATCATCATCGTCATCATCTTATTTTTTTTCTTCTTTAAGGAATACCTCGATGAGTCTTTTCCGCTGTGGTAATAATGATGATGACGATGACGATGATGATGACGATGATGAGGCTAATGATGGTGATGAAATAGATAAAGAAAACTTAATAAAAGTTTAATAGTTAATAGAGAAATTAGGATGACGACGAATGTAATACAACACACACACGCACACACACATACACGCACACATACACTCACGCACGCACGCGCGCACACGCACACACACGCGCACACAGGCCTAGATACTAACTCTTGATTATAGATAAGACACACGCACACATCGGTGGATATAGTATCAGATACCATTTTAAACATCTCCTCGTTATCTGCATGATATGTATCTTGATAGAATTTCACTTTCTTCTCCATTTCATCTAAAATTTCGATAAGTTTTACAATTATTATTATTATTGTTGTTGTTGTTGTTGTTGTTGGTGTTGTTATTATTATTATTTATAATTGAAATTTTTGCTTATTAGTTTTCACATTCATAAGTTTTGCTCTTTCTAGCGAGGCTGAAATGTAAATAATAAATTGAGCCTATTTTAGCAAACCCAATCGAAGTAAGTTTAAGTAGTAGCAGTAGTGGTAGTAGCAGTAGTAGTAGTAATAATTGTAGTAGCAGTAGCAGCAGTAGTAGCAGCAGCAGCAGTAGTAGTAGTAGTAAACAACACCGACGACCAACCTATCATAATGTTCGGCAGTAGTTTGTATACTAACATCTGTAGTGTCGTATCGCTTCTTGATGCGGCAAAAAATTATTATTATTATTGTTGTTGTTGTTATTATTATTGTTATTTTTATTATAACAACAACAGCAGCAGCAGCAGCAGCAAAAAAACATCTATAATGACGATAGCAATGATCACGAAGACGACGACGACGATGATGATTATGGTAATAAAAATAACAACAATTAAATGATGATGACGATGATGATGATGATGACGATGAGGATGATGATGACGATGAGGATGATGATGACGATGAGGATGAGGATGATGATGACGATGATGATGATGATGACGATGAGGATGATGATGACGATGATGATGATGATGACGATGAGGATGATGATGACGATGATGATGATGATGACGATGATGATGATGACACCGATAATAATGATGATGATGGCGATGATGATGCTGGTGATAATAGCAACGATGATGATGATGATGATGACGTCACGCAAAATACTTACCTGAGGGATGTACAGATCTCCGAGCTGACGATTACTTGCCGGTCACAGACGGGACAGTAGCTACTCGTCTGCAGGTACAACAAAATACACGATCTGCAGACTGCGCGTGTTTTGTTTGGTGGGGGATGATTTTCATTATTATTATTATTGTTATTGTTATTATTATTATTAATAATATTATTATTGTTGTTGCTGTTATTTATATTATTATTATAAATATTAATCATTATTATTATTATTAACTTATTGTTACCAACTCTTAGTAATAATAAAATCAAAAAAGTAGAGGGAGGATAATAATAAATGGATAAAAAAAATCTCTCTTTCTCTCTTTCTCTGTCTGTCTCTCTCGCTCTCTCTCTCTCTCTCTCTCTCTATATATATATATATATATATATACATATTAATTAATTAACTAATTTATTAATTACATGTGTGTTGGCAGGCGACAATTGCCGTGGCGTCAATATAGTAGCCACCGCACAGAGAACACGTGATGTATTTGTTAATTGACGTTAAGTTCACTTTCAGCAATGTTTCGTTGTTTTTTGTTGTTAAGGTTGTTCTTCGAAGTGTTGATAGTGAATCTGATGTTGTTGTTTTTGATGTTTTTGTCAATGGGTTTAGTTGTTTCAGCTGATGGTTGCTACTGTGCATCTCTTTAGTTGGAAAGTTGTTGTCGTTATTGGTGTTGCTGATGTTGTTGTTGATGTTGTTGTTGTTGTTGTTAATGTTGTTGTTGTTGATGATGTTGTTGAGGAGATTTGATTTGTGGTTTGTCGCCGAGAATTTCATAATCAATGGTGGATTGTTGTTAATATTGTTGACGTTGTTGTTGTTGCTGTTGTTTATAGAGTTACTACATTTATAGTAGTTGTTAATGGTGTTTATGTTATTGTTAGCGTTCATCCCGTTAATGTACTTATTGTTGTTGTTGTTTTTGTTGTTGTTGTTGCCGTTGCTGGCGGTGTTGTTGTTGATGTGATCGTTAGTGCTGTTGCTGTTGTCGCTATTAATGTCATTGCTGATGTTGTTGTTGTTGTTGTTGATGTCTTTGAACGTTATCAAACGACTTCGGGTCATTTTAGTCGGCAACATAACTGGCTTTTTTCGAACCATTTTGGCAGCAACAACAACTTTCGAAATCTTTTAATTATTGGAACTTCCAAACAAAATTTAACTTAACTGTCGTATTAAATAAAATTAACCAGTCACGTAATTAATTAATTAATTAATTAACTAATTGAATACGAATTAATCAACCGATTAATTTAATTAATCAATAATCAAACTATACTTAGAAACCCAATAAATTGTTGTATATTTTCGTACAAACCAATCACATACAAACAAATCGCGTACAAATGTTTTGTACTTAAAAATCCTCTATAAGAAAGCCCTACAAAGCTACCGAATACAAACACCACAAAAAATACAAACCAACAAATCAAACGACTGTATCGTTAATACAAAAGCAATACAACACGATACAATCTCCTTATGTAATTTTTGTTAAAACGAATAAAATTGTCAAGCTTAAATATTTATATGCGCGCGTATATACACATATATATCTATATACATAAATACCACATGTTATATGTATATATACATATGTATATTCATAAACATTGTATACATGTGTATGCAAATATGTAAGCATATGTACACACAAAAGAATGTACGTCTCGTGTACACCTGCTGTTTAACGATACAAAACGATACAATGTATACGATCCATACAAGGCAAAGTATGAAGGTAAATTAAGTTTATACAATTCTAACAATTGAACGAGAGTGGATGTTTGGTTTGTTGTTTTGATCGTTCGTTTGTTCGTTCGTTTGTATGTTTGCGTTTGTCTACATGTTTGTCCGTTCGTTTGTTTGTTCGGTGGATGGAGGCGACGTTATGAGTTCGATCGAAGATGTAAATGGCGGTTGCCACTTTGAAAAAGAAAAACTTCAAAGCAGACGTCTGGCTGCTGATGCAAATGATTGCAACAACAACAAACAACAATAACAACAACAAACAACAATAACAACAACAAACAACAATAACAACAACAAACAACAACAAACAACAACAAACCAACAATAACAACAACAAACAAAAACAAACAAACAACAACAACAAACAAACAACAATATAGAAGAGAAAAATGACATTTTAAACATTAAAACATCAATTAAGATGTTATCGGCACAGTGCTTTCAACTGCTTCATACGCAATATTCCAATCGATAAAAAACAACAACAACATTTATATTTATTATGATTCTTTTAATCATTATAATTATTCCCATAATTATAATTATAACCATAATAATAATAATAATTATTATTATTTTTACAAATATTATTATGACGGCAAATATGCATATATAACCTATTAAGGGCAGGTCATTAGCACCACGTTTAACACAATGAACAGAGGGTAATAAAATAATTAAAGAAGTTCTCTCTCTCTCTCTCTTTCTCTCTTTCTATCTCTCTCTCTCCGTACCTCTATCTTTCTTTCATCTGTCTTTTTGTTTCTGAATCTTTCGCTCTATTTCTCTCTTTTACTTTCTGTGTCATTCTTTCTTTCTCTTATTATTTTTCTCACTCTGTCTTTTTCTTTCTTTATTTTTACCTCTTTTTCATCTCTCTCTCTCTCTTTCTCTCTACCTATCTCTCTCTCTCTTTGTTTATTTTTATTTTGCTTCTCTTATATTTATCACTTCATCATCGTTATTTTTTCCCTACTATTTCTGGCTTGATACATGCATCTCCTCTTAGTCAGACTCGCTTCCTGGCCTATATGTAGGTATGCATTGTTAAAACTCTTCTTAAAATAGTACACACGCAACACACACACACACACACACACGTATACACACACACACGTACACATGTAAGCACATGTACACGTACACACACACACGCACACACAAGTGTACAAAACTCATAGTGTACGCCACGCCGACAAACGTGCAAAAGGAATTTTGTGTACGAAATTCCTCCTCACTCACTCAGGTCGTGATCTCTCCAAATTTAAAAATGGCGTGAAAAAGGACGAGGTGTTGATGATGATGGTGATCATCATCATCATCCCCTTCCCCAGTATCATCATCATCATCGTTGTCATCATCATTATCATAACCATTATCGTTTTAAAATTACCATCAATACTATTAAAAATCTCGAACTGCTAAATCATAGCATTTTATAATCAAAGCAACTTGTAATTTGGAATATCACTATTATCGTCACTATCGCCATCATTATCATCATCATCGTCGTCTAAAAAACATCATCATCATCAATACCGTTAGAGTCATCATCATCATCATCATCACTACCGCCATCGCTAATTAATACAAACGACAGTTTAAACGACTTGGATTATTATTTGCTAATGACCACCCAAATAATGCTTCATTAAGACCTTTGATGTGTCCGGCGACGATCATGATGATGATGATGATGGTGATGATGATGATGGTGATGATGGTGAGGATGATGATAATAAAAATAACGATGATGATGATGGTGATGGTGATGAGGGCGATGATGATGATGATAACGATGATGACGATGATGATGATGGTGGTGATGATGATAATAAAAATAGCGATGAAAATGATGATGATGATGACGATAGTGATGATGATGAAGACGACGATGTTAGTTGCAGTGATGATTAAAAGAGTTTCGAGGACAATGAAATTTATTTGCATGGCCATCTCAACTTTACGTCCGTAGAAATCTTAAAGCCTCGTTGACGATGATAATTAAGATTAATGACGTCACTTGAAGGTGATGACGTATGCAAATTTTTTAAAGAAAGTTTGTAGGAACGTTAATGGCAGAAACGAACGAACGAACGAACGAACGAACGAACGAAAGAACGAATGAATAACAGAATAAATGAATGAATTGATGGATATATGGGTAGATAGATGAATGAATTAATGGATATATGGGTATATAGATGAATGAATGAATGAATGAATGAATTAATTAATTAATTAATTATTAGATGAATGATTGACTGATTGAACTGAGGATGAATGAATATGTCACGATTTTTTTTAATTCCTTTGCTAAAGTTATTATTATTTCAGTTATTATTTTATGTTGTAATTATTGTTATTCTTCTTATTGTTATTATTATTTTTATGGGAGTTTGGCTTACTTTTAACAGCGGCATAGAACAATAAAACAAACAAAGAAACAAAAAGAATAACAGCCAACGAATTTATTTATTCATTTTCATCGTCATTTTATTTTCAACGAATTGTAAATGTGGCCAACCGCAATAGCAATAGCAACAACAACAACAACAATAACAATAATAATAGCAACAACAACAACAATATGAATAAGCATGTAAGTATGAATGTATTGAAAGCTGTAATCGATCGCAATTGTAATAGAAGTAAACACTGACACGTTGTAACTAACTGTAATATTAACGTAGTATTTTGTAATGTTGTAATAATAAATACAGGTAATTTATATCAATTAAAAATAAAATCTGAAAAATC